TCCCAAATAGGATGAGCAGGGCCAAAGTTGAAACAACCGTGCGTGATCGCTTTGCTTAGCCTTTCTCCTGTAATGGTGGCTTTACAAGGGTTTGACACATAAGGGGCGCGCCTGTGCGTATCGACGAGATACGAGTACTCGTTTCCTCCCAAAGTCAGTGCCTTCTCCCCAGGTGATCGCAGAAACTGTAACGAGCGCTAGTCAATGGGAGTAAAGGAGACGGTAAGATCTCTTCTGAATGCACACGTGCAGAACAGCCCCTATTTTGCCCGTTGAGTAGTTGGTCAAAAATGAGGTTATAAAAACCCTAATTTGAGAGTTTACTAGCTCTGGATGGCCAAGCATCAATCAACCACAGGCTTCTCTGAACACTTGACTGGCCAAAGGTCTTAACAGGGTGTTATTTTGCTTGCTTACTAGTACTGCACCAAACATTTGGGTGCGTTGTCACTCGCCAAGCTGAAAGAAGCGACCAGGCACCCAAAAGAAACACCCTAAAGGGTGCTGGCCTGAGGGGTGGCCTTAGGGGTGGCCATCTCACTCCTGATCATGAGAGCCCAAGGCCAAACTGTTTATTAACCATCAACTAACAGCTAACATGCTCTTTCCAAAAAGTTCAAAAGTCCAACTCAGGAACTCAGGGTGGAAGCCGTCACGGTTCGACCACTCAAAGGCAAGCTCCACACGACGGCATTTTTCTAGTTCGGTTGCGAGAAGATCTGCCGGATGTTTTGTGTCGGGTCGAACACGGCTTCGCCGCCAAGAAATCAACAGTCCAGCAAAATACTGTGGATGGACAACATCCATGTCGCGTCACTTTGAAACCAAGTTGGAAGCCATTTGTCGGCATTTACGTTGGGGAATCGAATCATCCGGTTTCTCATCATCCCATGGCTTCCGAACGGTGCGAGAAGCGCGCATTTCGCAACCATTCACCACGCAAATGTCTCCAAGCCTCCAATTCCATGTGCAACAATGGTGGCCCACGGGGCCCAAAAGGCTCTTGGGTTGACGTCCCAACTTTTGTTCGCCACTTTTTGATGGTGCCGAAATGTTCTGAGTGGAACACCGAACCCAAGTCCCAGCTCTTGTTTGCCAAGAAAAATGTTGCGAGGAACTCTCTTTGAGTGAGCTTCTGAGAAGCGCGGGGATTGGCTGGCATCTCATCCAGCAGATCTGCTCGGTTGCCATGAAAGCGGCATTCAAACACTCCACCTTTGACCCTGCCCGTTGCCCAGACCCCAACTTGCTCTAAAGGCGCTGTCGGGTAAACCAAATTGCTTGCTCGGTAGGGAATGACCGTTCCGGGTGTTGGGAGGAAAATGAGAAAGGGGATTCCCTTAAAAGAAGCCACAAGGGATGGTTTATAGGGGTCATTCCCTCATTCCCTGCTGAGAACCAGAATTTCATGGGATGTTTTGAAGCCCCGAATCGGTGAGCTCGTTATTCAAGAACACAGGTGCCAATCCATCGCCCGACTCGATTCCTTTCCTTTCCAAGCAATTGCAAGCGTCATTTCCTTGGTTGCTGTTGACCCCTCTTAACTTTGGGTGGGTCCAATGGGAGATCCGCTGCTTCCCAAAAAAGTCAAAGTCCACAAATCCAACTTCAAATCGTTCAGATTCGAGCCTCTCTGAGCTGCCTAGCTGGTTGGCACTCTGGCGGGCGAGGTCACTACCCAAAACTTCCGCCAGCGCGCCCGACGTGTGCCGGCCAATGGCTCGATCGCCAGCAGACAGTTCCCGCGAAGGAGTTTTCACTAAGTGGGCCCTGGACAAGTCCAATATATTCATTGTAATTGTATATTTATATATGGTGAAGGTAGATGGCACACTTTCCGTGTAGGCAACTAAAGGGGATGACTATACACAAAAAAACTGGGGATGCCATGGCCCCAGTTGGAATCTGCACCAGGCTATTGCAAAACACCAGTGCGAGGTCGGCTCCTGTCCAATGGAACCCAACTTGGTTGCTTTCTGCTCCCCTGCAAAAAAGTGGTTTAATGGAAAACCCATAAGTTGGCCAAGAGTTAAAGTCCTAACATCCAAGCAACATGCACCAAAGCCAAAGTTTGGCACCTGAAGGCCAATAGCCATCCAGCGGATCGCCCCCGGCCCTGTGCGATTTGATGTCTAGAGCATTCAGTAGACATATCCCCATCGCTGCCTCGTGCAAGCCTCCAAAGAAAGCTCGCAAGTCTGCGCAAAAGGCCCCGGCCGCAACAAAACTCACCAATAAATAGGCTTCTTGTCCGAAAAGCATGACCTCCTGCTGGAGACTAGCCTCAGGCCCGGCTAGTCTCTGCTCAAGGCTAGGCCGTGGCTGCCCAGCCCAACCCCCCGCCAACACCATCGATCAAGACTGCCGTGCGCGTGGGATTTCCATTCTGGTTTGAATTTGCCCGCGCGCAAGCAGCCGAGCCCGAATCCGACCGATCCACGATTGAAAAACCCCCGCGCCAACGCAGTCGATCCAGACTGCCGCGCACATTGGTCACTTTGGCTGTGGAGGCTTTCTGTGCAACTTCCGCCCATGACATCCACTGCCCCAGCACGCAGCGCCACTGCCCTTGCCTCGGGGATTCCTGCGCAACTTCGGCCCATGACATGAATTGGTCCAACGACGCCAGAACTTATCCATTCCTGAATCGCCACTTGACCAGCTCTGCTGCTTGCAGTCGAACCACAGACGCAGCGCGCTCGGCTGGGCCGAGGCGGGCAACGCGCAGCGTTTACAATGTGTTTCGACAGTTTCCACAGAATCTGCAACTGTTCAAGATTCCAAAAAGGGAAATGGAGGATGCACTGCAAAACTGTCTTTCCAAAAAGGCATGAAGTCCGGAAATTCGGAAGTTACCTGAGCCTAGAGCACAACAGCTTAAGCATTAATACTTAAGCATGATTCACATGGCCAACGTGAGGTATGCGTATTGCTGACAACTGTCCCCTCAAAAGGTTCAATCTTAGATGTTAGCATTCTATGGGGCTGATTCGCCATTCTTTTTTCACCATTGTTCTTTTCCAAAACAGAGGTCTTCCATAGTTTTCTGAGAAGAAGGACCCCTGGAAAGAATGGGGCCCTAGAAGCATGCATCTGTATTTCCCTCGTGTTGCGAAAGCCGTTTTCCCTCACATCATGTGCTGGAAACCATCACTTTTGGGCATCTACATGTACCTGTCCATGCTTACCACAATCCAATAGACCCTGAGAATTGGCGCGTGTTTTTTTTTAGTTCCCCTTTTGAGCCACCCAAAAAGGAATGCCCTCGAAAAAGGCGATACACACATTCTCCTGGCCTTCGGAGCACTGCTTTCAGTCTTGTTTTCAGACAAACACAAACTTGCTCCGTCTCAGTGGCCCAAAGAGACTGGAAAGAAAAGGTTAACCTTTTGGAATGCTGACTACAAATTGACCACATCAGGCAACCAAAAGGTCATCTCAGGTCGATTCGCTTTGGGGAAGGATTTCTGTCCTAGGGAACTCCACCAAACATAAAAAGGGCACCACAAACCTGATGGATCGATCACCTTTTCAGGCCGAGGTTTGGACCAACGAAAAAGCCCAGCACCCTTTTTAGGCGTGGCGCAGAATTCTGCCGCTGAGCTGGGCTTCACGAATCACCCTTCCAAAAAAAGCGAAGCACTCCGAAAGCCAATACAGGCAGTCAACTAGGTCCTTCAGTAGAGAGGTTAGAATAATGGTACCTTTCTTTTTCTGTAGTCTACTTTAGCAGGAAAACCCTCCAAAAAAAAGGGCACTACTGGGGACACAGGTCAAAGTGGGTTTGGTTCTTGGAGTTCCGGCGCAGGAATTGACCGCCGGAGCCTACTGACCCGAGAGGTCCAGAAAAGCCTTCAAAAGGGGCCTTTTCAGGGTTTCCTTTGAGTAGAGCTAGAATCTCCATGGAATAATGGAACAGTCGCGCTGTAGCTGCCTTTGGCCTGGAAAGCTCGGTCGGGGCGGTAAAAGTTGGAGACCTTGCCCCCAAACACGAACAGTCATCCACTGTTCGTGGGCGGCAGGGTCCCAGTGTAAAGAGTTCTGGCCGCTCGAAATCTCTCAAACTCCAGGGAGCGATTGCTTCATCTCAAGACTTTGGTTGTGGACAGTGCTACGGAACAAAGGCAACCAAACATGTCCCTGTCGTGGCAACCACCACCTTGGGGCTGGTATGCTCACACCTTGTCTGAGCCCCAGAGCAAGCTTAGCTTCTTGCTGCACGTGGGGCAGTCGTCATCTTTGAAACAGTGGAAAGGTTTGAGGAGTATGCAATCAAAAATGGCAACCCCAAACGTGATGATTAAAACCACCCTAGGCCCTGAGGCAAATATGGGCAAGTGTGAGCCAAAGCAACGGAAGCCAAAGTCATAGCTCCTCGAAAGGTTTTCATTTTTGCATGTCTCGTCCCCAGGAAATATGAGAACAATGGCTGTGGCTCAAACAAGTGGTACCAACATGGCTCCTTGGTAAATGGAACCACTAAAAGTTGCATAACCCTAGCTCTTTAATTTTGGGCCACACCCATATTTTGAACAGTCAGAGATTCGCTCTAAACCCAGAAATATACGTTAACACATACTTCGAAACTTGGTTGGTATTTTCAGGGGAATCGAATAATTTTCGGTTTCTGAACGGTGGTGCGAAACGAAACAAGCGGATTTCGCAACCATTCATAGTATCAGGAAGGAAGGAAAGAGTCGTATGCACGTCGGGTTTTGACTGACACTGGAGCTCAAGGGCTATCGTGACAATCGACGCGGTTCCAGGCGCTGTCTGACCCAAATCCCCCAAGACGGAGAACCCGAAATCGGGTCCGAAGCTTTTTGCCACCATGAGTAGTCATACCGTTGAAGGCCTTGCCTTGCTTTTCAGGGAATGACCCCAAACTGAGCCTCTTTTTGTTGTGGCTTTCTCAACGGGAAACCGGGCTGATTCCCTCTAGCCTCTAATCAGAAGTTCGCTGTGCCTCGAACCCGATTTTTTCCATTGGGTCAAACATCTTAAAAAAGCGGCAGAGATCGGCTTCTGTGCAAAGCCCTGTCGTGCGGGGCGTCCTCTTCTTCCACCTGGATGAAGGTGTTCTTAACCTGAGCGGAGCCTTTTACCAAGTGAGCTACCCTCGTGAGGTCCGTCCTTTACAACCCAAAAGGACATGCGTATTTGGCGGGACCCCCCCCCCCCCGATTTTGACCCAAAAGTAGCGTTTCCGTTTTTAGCGCCAACGCAGGCGCCACAAGGCAAACCCTGAAAGCCCCGTCATGGGTCCTGGAGGCAGCGGGGAACACGCATCAACCGAAAATATGTCTCAGTGGCCGCGGCCAATGCAGCGACAGCGATTCTCCTGTTGTTGTTTTCCTGGTGCCGCCCGTTATGCGACGCTAGCATCCTTAGGTCCTCGACCTGAGCGCCACATTTTGGTTCAAAACGTTTCACTCCACTAGAACCTCACAAGTAGCAGTTTCCATGGACACCACCAGTAACTTGCAACTATTGAAGGGGAAATCCAGTGACTGGAAAAGGTCTACCCTCCCCGCCAAAACCCCCTTTGCAAGAGGAAAGTCGTCTTTCAAGAGGGGGGCTGCGCACTTCCAGTGGGAGCTCGGTCGCTTTCTGCTCCCCTGCTAAAAGTGTAACTTTGAGTGGTTTAATGGAAAACCTATTAGTTGGCAAACAGTTAAAGTCCTAACATCCAAGCAACATGCAACAAAGGGAGGGTACCCAAAACCCGAAGATTTTCCCTGGGGCCGCTGACGCTCCGAACTCGACTCCAAGGCGCGCGGACGTCCCAGTCGCAGCTCAAAGCTTCGCCTTCGGCGAAGGTCCAAGCCGGCTCGGGCTCCCCGAAGAAAAACGTGAGGGATGGGACCTTGCGCCATATGATCATATATGAGTGATATGTACTTATGTATTTATTATACATCCATCCCAGGTGTGAGAGTCCATGAAGTTTTTTAACCACCTCACAAGCTGCGCCCTTCTTTTAATGAAAGAAAGGCCCCTCTCCTTCCCTGCGAAGAAATACCCCCCGGTTCCCACACACGGAGCCTGTTGCGGATGACTCCGATGAGCAGCGGCTGAAATTCGCGGAGGAGGTCTCGACTCCTTCGTGGGTTGTCTGACGGCTGAAGGACCCGCAGGCTGCCAGCATCATCTTGAAGGCGGCCTCTGACACACTCGCTCCTCCCCTCCCCTGCCCTTCCCTCCCCTCCCCTTCCCTCCCCTCCCCTCCCCTTCCCTCCCCTCCCCTCCCCTCCCTCCCCTCCCCTCCCCTTCCCTTCCCTTCCCTTCCCTTTCTCCCTCCCTCCCTCTCTCCTTTGCCTTTGCTTCCTTTTCTTGGGCCTTTACTGACTGCTTGGCCTGGAACATCACCCGTGCCAGGGTGGGTCATTTCCAGGACCAAGCCCCCCGCCATGCGTGTGGAAAGCCAACCACCTTTTCATGCCAAAGTGGGTGGTTTTATTCAGGACCAGTCAGGTTGGGTGTCTCTTTTGAGGGAAGCAATTATTAGACGGACGCCCTCGGCGAGTCTTGACCCAGTTCTATAATATACACCGAAAACCATATGCCTAAATGAAAAGCCAAAATGAAAACCCAAACTTTTGGGGGTCGCCCTAGCCTGACACAATATGGGGCTGTGCCAAAATAGGGGTATGCCAAGATGGCGTCGGCTTTCTTTTAGCTCCTCTTCATTGCAAGTTGAAAAACGTACTATAAAACAACTCACACATTTGTAGCATGTCCCCAGAACATACTTTCTGAGGCCCAGTCTGGGCCCATTCGTGAGACTTCCTTATGTGTTCACCTTTTGTTTGTCTCAAAACAGAACCCCACCCATTCTTATAGACAGGTCCCACATCTGCGACTTTTCTGACTTTGGTGTGCTGTTGTTTAGCCTCAAAGTAAAAATCAGAGGAGACTCCAACTCTCTTGAGCAGTCAACCTCCTCCGACCGGCCTGCTCATACCCAGACTCTGCCGGCACTTGCGCTGCGCAAGCATTCGCTTGCGCCGGGTCGAGCTTGGGTTCCTTCGATTGACGGAGCTCCTGCCTGGTCGAAGGAGCACGGGGCCGAAACATGGCGATAAACCATATAAACCCTGGCCCGAAAATAGGCAGAAGACCACAACACGCTCGTACAGCAATGACATCAGGAATCTGCTCTACTTGGGTGCGAGGGTCGGTGTGCTTGCCCCCAGCAATTGTTAGCAGGGTTTGCGTCGACGTGCAGGGTGCCAAAAACGACGCCGCAAGCTGCAACAGGGACCATTCGGCTGGCACCTGAATCTCACTGGCTCGAACCCAATTTTCCACCCCAACTTGAGTGTGCATGTTTTTGCTGGTGTAACCTTGGAGGTTCTTTGTGTCCAAGGTGTGCTTGGAGCTAGCCTGATTTCCACATGTTCCCAGAATCCCGCTTGAAAACGGTAACGTAGGCGTGGGACAGGAAATGCAGAGGTCCATGTTGACAGGAATGGCACAAAGGGGGAATGCAAGTTGCACCGAATGGCAAAACTAAGCGACGCAGGGACCTCTGCCTTGGCCCTGATGCCACTCCATGGTTTCATTTGCTTAAGTCCGTTTAAAACCGACAAGCGAAACAACTTAAGCAAATGGAAGTCAATGGCGCCCGTGTCAAGCTGGCTTCAGACTTCCGAGGCCACGCTCCGAATCATCGAGGAACTGGTCATGTCTGGGTTCCCTTGAACGGTTTTAAGGTTTCCCTCTTTGCAATTTCAGGCTTCAAGGCAAACCACCCAATTTGAAAATTTGGAGGTGCCGCTTTTTTTTTCTGTCATACGTCTTAGAGGGAAACCACCCATTTGGAGGTAAGCCGTTCTCGTGAGCCACCCCATGTGGGAAAGAATACCTGCGGGTCCCACAGGAAACACGGCGCCTGCCATGCGCGAACTTGCACTTGCCTCGGCAATAGAATCGCAAGGAAACGACGGAATAGGGCATCCACCGCCCCCCTTTCTGGTGTGCCGAAGGAAATCATGGCTACTTTCTCACTTCACAGGGTTTCCTTCGCATCACAAACAAGAACCCAAGGTTTGAGCAACTCATGGCCAGGCTTCAAGGCATGATTCGCCCGTGACCCTCAGCGTGCGCAATTGCCACGTTTCAATCTAGTCGATCCCGAACCGCCAGCCCCGCACGACGCCGCGCGACTGATCTGTCTGTGCACCCCACATGGGAGCTCCAAGTGCACAGCCCCACTTGCTCGCCTTGACGCAGGTGGGCTTAGATGTCCAAGTCTCAGACACCATGTATCATGGGGTCCGATTCTTCCAAGGGCTGAGGCCCTGCTTAGTCCCAGCTGCAGTTGCAGGTGGTGACATAGTTTGGGTGGAGCACACCCCGTGAGCGCTTGCACGGGCGAGCTCTTGCCGCTTGGAGGAAGTTGGTCCGTAGGTGAGTACACCCCGCCGTGAGAAAACTAAGGATGCCCGGGCAAGGTGCTTGGAGGGGGGGAGCTGGTCCGTTTCCTACACAACCACAAGAGTCACAAGAGTTGGAACTTTGCTAGTGGGAGGCGACCAACCACGTACGGGCTGCTTTGGAGACACAAGCTGGCTGTGCTCCAGACCTGCTTCGAGCAAATGACAATGCTGCGCCTGCCAGCACCACGTATTCGAATCCGAGAAATGAATACGCCAACAAGGACAGCGAACCCACGTCACAAACCCCTCCGGCAACCCAACATGTTGGGCCAGCAACTGCCCGTGGATTTCACCGTTGCGGCATGCCATTTGTGCGCAAATCAGAGCACTGTACATGCATGTAAATACAAGGACAACCCAACATGTCCGAGAGTGACCTTTTGATTCTGCTTGGAATCGACCTAATTGTTTCCCCATGGCTACGACGCATAACAGTATATGGCTTTGGAAAAGAGTGTGTGTCTGTTGTGTGTGTGTGTGTTCTGTTTTGAAGCCATTGACCTTCATGCAATCATGCATTCTCACCATGACATTGTGGAGGCTCGAGCATATGTAGAAAAGCCTTGCTGCATTGCTCCCCGGCCATAGTGTACAATATACCCACCAGTTCTCCACAATCCATTGGGCATCAGGCTATCTTGGCCATGGCGACTGCTCACAATGGGTATCTTCTCTTGAGTTCTTGCAGCTCCCCAAAAGAAAACAAGGCTGATCATCCTCCCAACCCCCCCCCCCCCCCCCGCCCAAGGACAGCGCTGCCGGGATTTTGGGCTTACATCGCTTGGTTGTGGGAGATGCTTGAAACCACGGGCAATTGCGCACATGTTGCTTGCTTCTGGCACTGAGTCTACTGGCTCACATCCCTGTGGTTGAACAACTCATCATTCTGGACCAAGCAACCAGCACAAACTAAAGACAGCCCTTGAAAGGTTCAAGATTTGGTTTCGAGTTTCGTTTCGTTTCGTTTCGGCCAGTCAGATTCTAGCACCTGCCCGCACAGGTAGAAGGTTCCGCCATAGCTCCAAATGGTAAAAGAAAATGATGACCCACATAACAAAGCCAGAACATCACCAAAATGAGTCCAAGTTTTGAACAAAACGGACGGCTGCTTGCCACCTCACCACAATTCACAACGCCACGCAACACCTAGGCCAGCGCGTGAAGTGCCTACAGGAACCTGCGCTTCAAAACGGTGTCATCCATGATCAAGCTTCCCCTCTCCCAAAGACCTCGAGCAGGAAAGTGACTAACATGGCAGACTATACACAATGCATCCAAAACCTCAAGTAAGTGATCCCAAGTACAGGCCTTACATCAAGTTGGCCTCGCCTTTACCCCGCAGTTGAGCTTGTCATGACATAAGAATTGGCAGGTGTAGACGATCAACGGACTTTTCTCCGCACGTGGACGATGAGATTTGGCTTTCGGCCATCTAAGCGTCTTTCAGTTAGGCATCTGGATTGAGGTGGTAAACTGGCAACAAGTGCTGCTTCCCTATCCGGCAATCCAAGCCACTAAACATGGTCAAAACGCTACCAACCAAATCTAGAGAGACATCGAGAAATTGAGAGAGGCTGATCAAGGGCCACTTCAGGCTCGAAATGTCAAGCGCTTTCACCTCGTTGTTTGCCGGGGCGCGGCCGTTGGCGCACCAGCCTCGGTCCATAAAGTCGCCGCAGAGCCGGGTCTTGGAGAAGTCGGGTTGTTCCTTGCCGACAGTTTCTGCAAGTCTTGCAAAAGATCGGTCTTGGGCAAGCGCGGCAAAAGGGAACCTTAACATAAGGGCCAACATCACCTGCATCTTTGCTTGGGCAACTTGGGCACCTTTTCCTGCTCACGTGATTGGTTGCACGCTTTGTTTCTTCACGTTTTTTTGGGTTTGTACACTTCTCTGATGAAGCTGCTTGTGGAAACAATCGGCTCTGCGCCGCTCGTTCCCATGCTGGCACAGCCGTTTGTTGAAGTCTCTTATGTTTACATCTTAATCGCCTTTTGTCTCAACCAAGGATTGGTTCAGCCCTTTTGTACGGCGCCAGACGCAGTACGGCCCCAAACTCATGCACCACCTATCACCGGGACTTGGCACTTTGTGGATTGATTTTGCAACCCGGAGCCGCCCATCAATAGCCTCAAGCCTGCAGGCATGCCCGAAGCGCCGGAGTAGCTCGACTTTGAGCCCGGTGTGGCCAGTTGAAGAACAGTGTGTTCCCTTTCAACTCTGGAAACGGTGTTCGGATTTCTTGGGGTCTCAGCCTTTACCCACCCCGCCAAAAGTGTTTCCTTAAAGCGGAACATTTTGGGGGCCAAAAGGTGGCTCAGAGCTGCCCGTTTCATTACCCTCTACAAGAACTAGACTTCACATCCCCAACCACCAATCCAACCACCAACGAGGTGCACAAAACAAGAAAAACAGCTCGTAGCTAAGCCGCGCGGAGCTGGTTCTGGCCATGGGCAAAGGCACACTCAGCCCCACGGTTGCAGGTGCCGGCCAAGAAGAACTTGCAGAGCCTCCGATTTTAGCTTCCCTCCAACTGCTGGCTTCAGAATCTCATGTTTTCTCGTCTTATCACAGGTTTTGATTGGTTTCTCATATGTTCTACTTCTTCTCGTGGATTTTGCTTTGGATTGGCGGGATGGACATTTTCCGGGGGTGGTTTTCCATGTCGCATCAACAAGAGCCAGGGGTCTGTCCCGAAACCGCAAGTCCAAACCAGCAACTGGCGCGGGGCGAACTTGAACATTCGCTTTCCCACTACCGCCGAACAATACGATGATAGGAGTAAACTAGGCCACACATATAAGCTTCATCTACCTTTTCCCCGCCTGACATCAAAAAAGCAAAGCACCCATATTTATTTGGGATGTTCACAGGAAGTTCACAGGGGTGAAAAATGAGTGATTTCGGCGAATCCCTGTTGTCAGGCACCGTTTCGGCAAACCCCAGATGCCAATCCTTCAGAAGATTCCTACAGGATCTAGCCCATGGGCTTGTTTCTTTTCAGGCCCGGTGCCCTTCTGCAAAACAGGTATTTTTTGGGTTTCCTACTTTGACAAGTACCCAAATATGAAAGGGATCTAGGAGTCCAAACATGAGGGCTTGTGCACCCAAAGGCCGCAACGGAGGTGTCGAGCTTTCCCCACGCTACGGGGCAGCCCAGCGATCCGGCGAGCGTCAGGTGGGACAGCTAAAGCAAAATGGAAGGGCAACCACCCGTTTTTGATAGGAAGCAACCCTAGAAAACAGTCACCAGAGGAATTTATCAGGTTGCTTCCTTTGGCAATTCCAGGAGGCAGGCAAGGAAGCCAGCAAGCAAGCCAGCCAGCCAAACAAAGAAACAAGCAAACAAACAAACAAGCAAGTAAGCAAGCAGGCAAGCACACACAACCAACTGCAACCAACCAACCAGCGTTTAATATCGGTAGTCTGAATTATGTCAAGTTTCCCCGGCTTAAGCACGACACCCCCACTGTTTCGGTACAATGATTTATGTCAAGTTCGAACCCCAAAAAATCCCGTTGAACAAATATGGCTCAAAATTCGCAATATGGGCCACTGATTTCTCCTCTCAGCTTCCTGGCTCAGTCCTAGTAGTGAAACTCTGCAAATCTTTGGTTGCTCAAATTCCTCACACTTCCTGATCCTAAGCCCCAACCATCAAAATTATTTACTTAAATCCATCCAAAAACAAGCCCCAAACAGTCCTGCAAAGGGGGTTGCCCACAAGGGGGGTTGGTCCTCTTTAAGGGGCACTGGTTGGGTACCATGTTTCATGTCTAGTCTTAGGGTGGCAACCCAAAAGGAAGTGCTGGCAATACTAAACCAAGTAGTGGCAATCCAAAAGGAAGTGCTGGCAATACTAAACTAAGTAGTGGCAATACCAAAGCAATACTCAAGTCACCCAAGCCCCCCGCCAAATCCGTATTCAGGATCCCCAGCACTGCTTTGACTGTGTTTTGTGGGGCTGACAGGGGACGCCGGGGATGCTAGTCCTCGTCTAATCGACGTTTGGTGCTGCTTTGTTCGGCGCACAGGCACCCATGCGCGCTCCGCAATGGGTGTGTGGGACCTCCGGAGCCTTGAACCTGACACCAGGACTCCCCCGGGCAACTTCCTTCTCTGGGCTGAGACCTCTTAGCTTGCAGCTGGGGAGCAACTTGCAAACCGACTGACACATAGCCAGCGAGCCAACAAACCAGCCAACCAAAATGTGAACACCACTCAGAAACCTATCTGAGCATATTATTGTGGCTCACAAGTTGGAAGCGAGGAATCCCCTAAAAAAGGCCCGTTTTGCCCAAACACCTCCCGCCCGATGGGGAAAAGCGGAACTCTTGGGTTGATCTAGGGAACTCCCAAAGAAAAGGAAGCAATCCACTGGGCAACTTGGAACCGAAACCAAGCCAACAAGCCAACAATCAACCAACCAGCCAGCAACCAACAACCCTCCCATCAAAACTAAACACACCAAACAAACAAAACAAACAAACAAACAAACAAACAAACAAACTAACAAACTAACTAACAAACTAACAAGCTAACAAACAAAGAACACAAACACCACCCCCACGGTCCCGTTTTCCGCCCTTTCGACCTCCCGAGAACGCCTTGTCTTCTGATGGGCCTCCTTACGCTTCTCTTCCAGGCGCATGGCGTGCCAAACGCTTGCGGCGTGGTTTTCGTTCGACGCTCCGAGCCAAAGCTGTCTGAGTTCTCAAGGCCTTCAAAGGCGAGCCGAGTTTGGGTGATGGGTGGGAGCTGAGTTTGGGTGATGGGTGGGTGAAAAATTCCATGCAAAATCAACATTAAATTAAATGCTTTGGGTGGGTGAAAAACTCCCCGACTTGCATTTGCTTGATACGTCTCATTTGAACTCGATTGAATTGGTTTGTCACTAAGCCGATGTTGTGGTGTATTTGATTGCGCTAACAAAAACACGCAGGCAATTCGGTTGTTAGCCATGGCTAGAATGGGGACTCTTCACTTGGCCACCAAGTGGGTTGGTTGTAAAGGCAGCCAAGTGCCCAACCCGTGCTTTGGCTTGAGGCTCGCACAAACCCGAGGATTTTGATCAAACCCTTCCACTTGCTTGAGCCCCTTGGAGAAAAGAAACTATGTCCAGTAGTGATAGATTCCCTTAACCATCAGGAGAAATTAAGCAATATTCGTAAGCAAATGGAAGAACCTTGTGGCACCAAAGAAATACAAATAAACCAAGCCCAACGGACGTTCGTTAAGCTTCATGGCAAGGTGAAAAGCATGTGTATGTATGGCCAATTTAAAGGCCTACTGCTTTCACGACGGGTCCCTAGCAGGTCAGGTGTTGTTCCATAGAAACAGTGTGCAAAACCATTGCAAAACCTGGCTTGCTCTACGGCTATGGCGACCAATGCTACGCAAGCAAGTGACTGTGATGTTCATATTCAGGTATCTACGCTGTCACAGGGGTCCTTCATTTCGAAAACAAACAGTTGTCCAAGAGTTAACCACTACCAACTGGCATAAGGAGCTTGAAGGTTTCAATGTTTCGGGAGAAAGCGGCGTAAGTCCACTCATCGGCCAACGGTCCAAAGCTGTTTGCCAGTAGACGGTCCCAAGTGACCAAGTTCAAGAATTCCGGGTGTGAAATGCAAATGGGTTTGAAGGCAAGAAAGTCTCGCTGGCCAGTAAAGCACTGAACCCCACTCTTCCCGGTGGCTTCATGGGCCCAGACCGCGCGCCTGACATGGACAGGTTCGCTAGAAACCGTTGCCTGCCGGGTGAATCCAAGCTGGCCCATCGGGTGGACCCCTTTGCCCTGGCTGGGGCAAGCAAAACACCAAGTTGCTGGGACCATCGAAAAGGGGCCCAACTCCTTTGAGAAATACCCAAATTGGTGTCCCTTTCGAGGCGAAAAAGTGATGTACTTTTCTTTCGAGGCCGAAAAGGGGGGAAGGATTTCCATGTTTCCCTTGGCAGCAAGGGGTGATCGCTGTCTGTTTTCCTACTGTTGGGGTGATCTTTTCTACCCTGGTGATGGGGAAGACCCCTCCTGGCAGTGCAATGATCCAAAGGTGGATGAGAACATGCGTTGTTCAGGTTTTCCGGTTCATTAGGCTTGTTGTATAAAGTGCAACCCCTGCAAAAAAACATGGGAAACTCTCAGGCGTTGCCGGCTTCCAAAGGCCTAGCCATCCATCCGGTTTGAGTCTTCAACCGGATGAGTGGGTGGCAGTTTTGTTCAGCTCAGAAGCACGCGGAAGCGGCTTCCGCGTTGCGGGGGGCCACTTCTTAGCTGGACGTTAGCTCGTAATTTCGGGGCATATGGCCCCATCGGCTCAAAGATAGGGTCCATGGGGAACAAATGCCACCCATCAGCAAAGCCTTTTGTTCCAGGCCTAGATTTCTGCCCGCTACCCTTTCTCACCCTCTCAGGTGAGAAAAGCCAAAAGCCGAAGCTCCAGATTGTTCAGCATGCCACTTTCAAGTGTTGTAGCGCCAAACCCCGCGAACGCTCACAAACTCCAAGCCCAAAACCAACACTTCAGGATAAGATAAAAGCCAATCAAATTGAGGCCTGTGAGGGTTTCTTAAGCCTTACCCCTTAAAACTCCAAGCCCTGGGGAAGTTAATCTTTTACAGACATATAGCCCATGTTACCCAAAAAGTTGAAAGGTTGTGTTTTTAAGAGGTAAGAATCGGTAAGAAGCCCAAACACTGAGGTCTTCTTTGTGGTCTGGTCGGGGGTGAATTCTCGCTCCGTGGCCCTCCACCGGGCTCCCATGCGCCGAGCTGAGGGTCTCGTGGTAGAGAGACCTCGCGGCGCGAGCCCAAGGGGCGCGATCCAAATGGATCGATTCCCCCAACCAAACATGAGTCATAACCCAAACCCGGTACCAAAAAATGGTGCACCCAGAACCATGCCTCAAGAACTAAGGCGGATATGCGCAGCTAATGGTTGGGATCGTCCCTTACTAACCTTCATCTACCCGGGTGTTGATTGTGGCTCACATGGCTTTCGGTGTCAAGTTTCAGGACATGAATACGCCAATTCACTGGTGGTGGTGGTGGTGGTGTTCTCTTGTTCATTTTTTCGGGGTGAAGGCAAAGCACCTTGCAAGTTGGGTTTGAAGCGACCTACCAAACTGCTGGCAGATCCGAGAGCCGGACGCCAAGCCCATCTGGTAGCCTCAGGCGGCAACCAGCCATGGGTCCACAAAACAACAATTTCAAGACTGCTAGCTACGGGTGCTAGAGACGGGTACGTACCCATGTTTCTCTGTTCCCTTTGGGCCCACTCATTTCAACCACAAAACCTCAAAGTGTTTCCTCTCTTCACACCTGAGGGTGAAAAGTTCGACTCTGGATGCCGGTATGCCTGCTAGTTTGTTTGAGTTGCTGGAGGAAATCCTGTTCCAAAATGTCGGGGATCGAGCTGCCGATCGCACGAGGGAATATCCAGGGTCGCTGGATTTCCCCATATCTGCATTTAAACCGTAATCCATCCTCGAAAAAGACACACAATGCGGGAAGATTGAGGTTCGAGCCCCTTCAAACATCAGCCCTTCAAAAAGCGTTTAACACCCACCCTTCAACAAAGTGAAAGACTAAAACACGAATCCCTACATCCAATTCTAAGGCCAGAGCCGCAGGAAGCGTTCCTTGGGCGCACAACGGTCTACCCAAACAGGGCTCCCTATATTTCCCCTTAAAATATCACCCCCACCAAGGGCTAGACCAAAAAGGTGATGTTTAAAACTACCAAAAAGGGAAATATAGGGACCCCTGCCAAAGGCAGAACTCCGCACCAAAAACAAACTGGTGACTGTCACTTACTAACCTTCCCAGGGATTTCATTGTGGCTCTCATGGCTCTCCCAGAAAATCTGCGGGGAGGGGCTATCACCTGTTCAGCCCTTTCAGTGGGGATGCTGATCCCTGCAGTCCGTGAGAGCCAGGATGTGTCCTCATTTTGAACTAAGGTAGCGGGGGGACCTGCACAGTCCCTGATCCAAGGCGGTCCTTTCCGTTGGCTAGGGTGGTTTTAATGCTCAACGTTCATCCTTATCTAGGTCCTCCAGTAGAGAGGCTCGAATAAGGGTACCCTGTTTTTGTCGTCTATTTTAGTAGGGGAAAAAGGGCACTACTGGGATGTTACGCGCACGATTGTCCTTCGCAAGTGATCGGAACCCAAAAAAAAGTAGAACCAGGTTCCCTAGGGGCTCGGCTTTCCGCCGCCCCAACAAAGTCCATGAAGTTGTGCTTGCAATAAGCCCTGGACAACAAATATGAACGTTTCCCCAAATTGGTAGGGGTATGAGCGCTTAACTCTAGGGGTTTGGATCCCGTAAATGATGGTTGTCCTGTCGGTATCCCTTAAAGAACAACGGAAAATGGTACTCTCAACACAAAAGCACCAAGCTCAATCAGGATCACGTCTTAATCCCGTCTTTGCACTGAACTTTGCGGCACAGCGTTCCAAATTTGTCGTGTCCTCCCCCAACCAACAAACAGGTTGCTAATGATATGGTGAGTGACTCATATATATAATTTTATGACAGGTGCACCAAACATCCTATAGATTGACAAGGGAAAGCAAGGAGTCAACCCCAAAATCATGCAACATCACAAAAGATCAACTAACTCCAGTGAACTTCACCCATGTTTCCTGGATTCTTTCTACAGTGAGCCTCATGAGGTTCCGAGTGCCGATGTGAAGCCAAGCCTCCCATGCTGGTCTTGCTCGGAAGGGCTCAGGCCTAAGACGCGATGAGCCAAGGAAAGCGCCCCAGGTGCTCAAAGTGTGGGGAATGATCTTACAAATCTGCTAACGGCACTTGCTTTACCATAATTCCAACAGCTGAATTAAGGGATGCCCAAGTAGAGGATCTTTATCATGGGGAGACCAAAGAGAACTTATCCGCCCGCGTAGGTCAAAAAGACCCCACAGAACGAGCATAAACTCTCGTTGCTGGGCTCGGATTTCCTTGCAAGACGGAAATCCCCCCTTGCCGTACCTGGCAAGACTCATACTGCCCAAGTTACGACTCTTTGCCTTAAGAACTATTGGCAAATCAAGTCAGAGGTGCGTCAAATCGCCTGCTGGACTGAGATGGTCCACCCAGTTGATTTGGTTTATGCCAAGGATTGAAATGCCCTACCCTTTTCACATGGAACCTGACATGGGGGCCATTTTCCAGTGCCTCCAAGTTTCTCGGACGTGCACCGTGGGTTTCTCGCTGCGTGCCCCAATTTCGGTGAAGCGTCGCTCGCCATAGGCAGACTCCGTTGGCTTCGACTGAAGAGACTTGCTGCTGCGAACGCGAGGGTGTCCTAACTTGGTCAATTATTAAACCCGATAAGCCGCATTTCCTCCATTTTGCGAACACACCCCCTGGAAAACATGAGAACTATATATGTCCAATAGTGATAGATCCCCTTCAAACCCAACAGGAGGAAACAGCATATTCTTTAGCGAAAATGTTCTGTTCATCATTCTCTAGACCAGGGCAAAGATGTCAGAAGTCCCAAAGGTTGACCCGGTCAATTGGATAGACCACGGGACTTGAGGTACCCTGCAGATTAGCATCCCCAAACACCCCAGACTTGTTAAGATGAAGCTGCAAAGGCCTCAAACGATATGAATTGTAGTTGGTGCAGATTGCATCGTCTTAAAAGTTCAGTGCCAGTCTTTTTCCCGTTTGGTTTGGGTTCCCCTCTGGCAATGGTCCGCCCCAAGGGTCGCAATTCTTTTGTCTACCTTTGGGGTTTCTGGTTGCAGTTGCTTACTTCGAGGGTGATAGAGTTGGTTGTAGACCCGGGCTCGCATGTGATGTTGCCTTAGGAAAAGCGCACCTCTCCAAGTTACAAGGCCCGGAGTGCATGTTGTCCACAACACACCAAGGATAGCGGCGTTCATGCGCGGAATCTCTTGGCCCGAAATCGGTGAGTTTGGGAAAATGGGGAATGGTTCTTTGTTGGGGTTACGGTCTCCTTCCACGTTTCGCCGGGACAAACACATCCCTAACGTGACCACTTGTTGCTGGGAAATGACAGAAACTCCGGTAAGAGGGCTCCGAAATCCCTGGCAGGTGCCCGAAGTAGACCAAAGGAACCACAGGAAACCCCAAAGCCTTGCGCCGGCAAGTCGCCTTCAACCTGCACCAGTGCCCAGGGCAGGAAGCCTCGGCTTGGGCTGCGGACATTTTTCCCCCCTTTAAGGGAGGGGCGGCAGGGCCCAAGTCCGTTTTTCTCGTCTTCCCGGAAAAGGACCACGGGACCATCCACGGAGATCTTCAGGCTAACCCCCTCCTGGTGGGGATGGTGTCTTTTGTTGGGCGGGGAGTTGGAGGAGGCCTTTTTCGGGGTTGGTTTAATACAAAGCCAGCTGTAAACCACTCATTCCGAAGGTTTCCCTAGAGACAAGTGATGTCATTGTGACAAACTAGCGGTGCTGATGGACGAACATCTGCACCAGTTGGTGTGTGGTGTCCACACACACAGTAATTTACAGCAGGCCAACCTACCAGAAACAGGGAAGAACACAAACACATGCGAATCATCTCGATCGAAAATGGAGATGGAGCAAAATCCGAGCCCATTGGCCAAATCTGGTTGATTCGCCCTCAGCCCAAATGTACGGCTAAAGTAAAACCCAGTTGTCCAATGACCCCTGTAAGAAAAAGGGGCCCCTTTTGACCATCTTAGCAGGGAACCCACGAAAATGGACGAACGGTGCGACCGGACAGCCAGGTTCATGACATCCGGTAATCCAAATGAAGCGTACGCTGGCAGGTTTTGCCTCTGCATCGAAGGAGCTGTGGTGGCACACGATGAGATTGTACCTGCCAGGCGCCGCAAAGGTTCCCAAAGCCTCCAGCGGCCAAGTGGGAAAAAGGGGCAGCCTCAAACTTGGTTGACGAGTTGGGTTTGGGAAGCAAACAAAAAGTCAGATTTTAGCAGCTAAGTGGTGGGTTTTCAACCACTAAACCACAATCAGCAAAAATGAAAAATGTTTCAACCAACGACAACCATGAAAAGGGGCAGGCTGAAACGAGACCTGGGAGCCGAACCGAAGAAAAGAAGTGCAGCCAACGGAAGCAAAGAAAAAGGCAAGGCCCCAGGTCCCTCATGACCTGCGCGGACGCTCACAACGTTTATAATACGAAATTGCTTCGCAAAAGGTGCATTTCGGTAGCTGCAGGAAAGCTGGACATCGCCAGCAGCAGATTGAACAACCCACGTAGTCAAGTCTAAGTGAAGCCAAGGGCAGGCTCGAAGATCGCAACTTTGAGTACAACAGTGGATTGAACATCACAACCTTTAAGTGCGAAAGTAGTCCGCAACAGGAGCTTGGAACGTGTAACTTTTAAGTACGGGAGAAGTACGCGAAGTATGCTTCGCAGCTGCGCCTCGAATGTCGAGCTGGAAAATCTCAGCCGGCCTTCAGCTACAAAAGTCGTATGCGAAGTGCGCCCCTGCGCAGTGCCAGTTCGCAAATCCCTCCGTTTCTGTGTGAAAGTAGCAGGTGCGGTACGCTCCGCCAGCTCCTTCTCGAACCTGGCAACTTTGGAGTATGAAAGTAATTGCATTTTCCTGCCACCCGCCAAAACAGCAAAGCGCGACACGCATTCCCCCGCGGGCTTCTTGTGAGCCATCATGTGCAACTTCCTTGTTTTTGTTTGTCAACGCTCAGGAGGATCTTCACCCCACTCGCTTCACAAAAGCGACTATTATACCTGGAGTCTCCACGACGCTTTAAAAATGGGTCAATGACGCCATTATTTTGGGTACTGACCCCTTTGCAATAAGGGTCATGGAGATATTTCAGCCAATTGAACAGATCTCGATTCAGGTTGTGCTGCCTTGTGTGAGTCAGTGAAGGCCCCCCTCCCCCCGCGCCGTAAAGGCTGACGCTCAACTCACGCACGCATTTCACGGCGCTTCAGGCCAAAAACAAGGCTGTTCCAGCCACGCACACACACACGCACACAGGGCACTCACGCTAAGAGAGACAAAGCCAGTGTTGTTTCAGCTAAAGTCTGATCACCCCAAGTGGAGCAAGCCAGCCACATCAAAATGAATCAAATAATCAGCAACTCATCGGAAGGTTGAAATCCCACACCGTCTCACCTGACATCTTACAACAGGCAAAACCATTGATCAATGCGGCGCTGGCATCAAGTCTCTACAAATTGGTTTGCCCCTCGCTAAACGCAAGTCGTGGAATACGAAGGTACGCAATAACCAATCACGGCAACCTCGAATGAGACGTGCCGTCGACCAATTCACATGACCCAAAACAATTTTCTCTGCATCGTCAGCAACTGCCCTCGCAAAAACAAGTCTGTGCTTCCATGCGTCCGGGCCAACCGCGGTCTCGTTTTGGATCCCAAAAAACAGCGTCTCTTGGGAACCGCCCCACGCGGTTCCGAAGCGATCGCCTGGGCATGTTGATCCCATCCGCCTGCGCCGTCTCAGGTTTGAGCTCCTCAGATCGCCCGCCATTGAAAACCCGCAGAGGCCAGTCCCTTTGAAGAGGAGCCCACTGGAAAGGGGCTTCTGGCCAGAGGGAGGGTTTCCAACCTTGGGGTAAACATACTGTGGATGGACGAAATCCTGCGCCACTTTGAAACCAGGGTTTACAGGGGAATCATCATTCCAGGGTTTCTTAGGTGGTGCAGGATTTCGTCCATCCACAGTATCTGCCTTTGTTGGAGGGCAATACTTTTCTTGGATTCTGCTTCATTCTTACTCAACCTACGAATATCATACTTTCTGAGGAGTTGCCAGGTGTGTGTTCAAAGCGGCTTGGAGAAAGTAAGAAATATAAGCACTCCAAGGGCCGACACCATTGCCCTCCTAAATCCTGCTTGATTCGAAGTTCCCAGCAACCTGTTTGAGATGTTGGGTTCTTTCTGCACACTGCATTCACTCTCTCAGCTTCAGAACTTCACTCATTTTCTTTGGCGGGTCCTTTCGTGTCCGCCACTGCATGGGTCGCTCGCACACGCGTAGGGGGAAAAGTCGTCGGGTCGCTATTGAAACTTGACCAGACTTAGAGCTCTGAAAGGTAAAATGAGGCTCAAAGCAAGCGAAAAGCCACCGAGGCTTCAAAGAACAAAACCCAAGATGTTGTCTGCCAAAATGAGTAAAAGGACCAAATGAGATCCAAAATGTTACCTTAGGTGTCCTGGCCTGGGAAAATAGATGGATTTCCCTGGTAGATGAGAAGGAACCACCAGGTAAACCAGGAATCGCCCTCTATTGTTCAACCAAACCAACCAAACAGGACAACTATGGTCACCAAGCGTTGACGCATCTCCCACGACCGAGGTGCTGAGCAGTGGGTCCGGCTGGAGCGAAAAACCTGCGAGAGCCATCGGCCAAGCTCTTGATGAAACACCTTTGGACAGAGCTCAGATCCCGGTGACTGGACCAGCTTGATCCCAGATCCCTCTGTCCTTCTCCCTTTGGGGCCATGGCTAAAACTGGACCACAGAGACACTGAAAGCTCAGAAGGTCGGCTCGCTTTGGGCAAGTGAGCCAAAAAGATCGACATGCCTTTGACGGGGCCCAGGGGCTCGAAACTGCCGTTTGAACCACCAGTCAACCACCAGCCGGCACATCGACCTCGCCGACACACTTCATCAATCTCGAGTAAAAGGCGGAAGTCGCCACGGCAGGGCTGTGGTTGAAATGGAATCCACGAATCTGTGATACAACAGAAAGGGCGTCCCAAAGACTAGCCCCGCATATAAAGAGGGAGATTCTCTGGGGCACAACCCTGCTTTACGGGCCTTGCTTCTTTGGAGTTGGTAGCTTTCCGGGGCAGATTGAAAGCGACACAACCAACGAGCACAGGCGCCCCATTTGCAAATCTGGAGGTGATAGAGTCCCCCACTAAGAACTGAATTCACCACCAAGGGGCACGCAGAATGGCAGGCATACACTAATATCCATTGGCCCATTGGTCAGATCTGGGAATGGACTCTCAAAATGATGGTTGTGCTGTACTTCCTGCGGCGGCCAGTCGGCAAACTATTTCAAAGGCCAAAGTACAACTCAGAAGCTCGTGCTGAAATTTGATACCAAAACGGTCACAGGCTTGAAGCAAATGAACAAATGAACAGATGTTTAAACCAACAAGCAGACGAATGAACAAACAAACAAGCAACTGAACACATGAACAGACGATTTTGAACCAACAAGCAACTCAAAGAGCGAGCATCAGAGCTTGGGGCCCAAGAAAAAACAAGAGCAAACCACGTGAAGCCTCTGGGCACCGCTGGTACTTGTAGCCTGGCGCCACCTGGCTCTCGCACGCGTCCGCGTCCGCGCGTGCGCTTACGTGCGCGTGCGTCCGCCCACTTGCGATGGGTGACTCAGGCTTCCCCACTTGCGATCGGGGCGATAGGTAGGGAATGTGGGAATGAACCCAGGGTTTGGTCCCCTTAAAGGAAACCACCAGTTGGATGGGGTTACAAGGGTCATTCCATTTCTCATTCCCCGCTACGCATGGGCCTGTCCGGTGAAACATCCTGACGTCTGCAACACAGAGTCGGAAGTAGGCTTCCATCCAACAAATCAGCCCAGGTCCCCAACAGACTCTTCGTGACGAAGAGTAGAGGGGGGGGGAGGCATGTTACTGACCAGTGGCCCTGGTGACCTCAGTGAGGCCGCCCGCCAAAAAGAGAGGTGCTGAACTGGAAAGCAAGCAGAGGCTTCACAGGTGAGCTTTGCCGGCTTCACAGAACCCATCTCAGGTAGATCGCATCTTTTGCCGGGGAAACCCACTGGCAAGAAACAGGAGATACAAAGGAAAGGAGTTGAACATGTCTGGGGCGCTCTCCTGAAAAAGGTCGATCACCTGTAAGCCCGTAGGCCTAGTGGAACAACCAATTGCTTCCAAAAGGTCCACAACGGACCATGATGCAACCAGTAACTTGCAGCGCTATGCATTGACCTGCCCTTTGGTGACACCCCGAAAATGGTGGGCATCCTTTTCAATCGTCCCCACAAAGGGTGCCCTCAAAAAAGACACACCCACATGGCATGGCTGGGCGTTTGTGATTCCCTCCCGGCCAAGCTCAGCTTGGGGCACTCGCGGGTTGGTTTTCATGTCCTTCGGTTGCTTGAGTTACAACCAGCTGAAACCACATGGGTCCGCCAAAACCGCGAACATCGGTTTTGTGCAAACTAGTGCTTCCAGTCAAGCCACTGGCAGGCTGGCCAATGGAAGTCACCACACGGTGGATGGACGAAATCCTGCACCACCTGAGAAACCCTGGAATGATTACCAAACAATCAGCCAAGAGGAAATCACCCGAGGCAACAAATGAGTTATACCTTGAACAACAACTCTACACATGCATGCTTACAACAACACCCACACTTAAAAAAAAGAAGAAGACGGAAGCACGTGGCGCCTCCTTTGCCACAACCCGAAACATCGGAAAACATAAAGCGAGTCAACACAGGGAGGTGAAACACTTCCCCATGGTGGCGGCATCACATTGCTTGAAAAAGGAGGTACTCACACCCAATTGTTCAAAGACTCTGGTAGAAAAGAAATGGAACCCGTGCTTCGAGGAACTCGCCAAACAAAGGGAACCATGGTGGGTGGAGTCCAGTCAACAACCGGGCCATGGTTCCTCTTGCATGAAACTCACTCCTAAGTGGATTGGCAAAGACAGACTCAACTGTTTAAAAGGAACACCAAAAGGAAGCCATCATGGCTCCCCTTCAGAAACCCAAAATGGCCTTCCCAGAAAGGAACAAGTCCAACAACTTGGAAAGTGATCAGCTTTGCTTTGGTGGCTTGGAGATGTTTGGGGGTGGTTTCCTGCCACCAGCTTTGGTCTAGCTCAGCCGTCACGGGGTGATGGTGATGGTTGGGGGTCCTCCAAAATGTGGGTATTCAAGATGCAAGAGCTGGGGTTCCGCAGGTAGTCCTTTTCTTCCCATCTACCAAGGTGCATTGCTGGGGCTTCGTATTTTGAGCAGCCACGCGAGGTGACAAAGCGAGAGGAGATGCGAAGCACGAAACTCACGCCGGGAGCTCCGCGAAGCTCTTCTTCACCTGAGCTTCCGGGTGGGACTGGAAGAAGGGAGGCCCCCAACCCAGCGACCATGAGGTTGCTGCTGCAAAAAGCTGATCACTCTTTGTGGGTGAAATGGAAAACCCAACTTGAATTCCCAACAAGTTCAAGTCTAAAGATCAGGTGCGAAAACATCCAGGAAAAAACAAACACAACAGGGATCCCCTGCTTGTTTCCTTACAGCTTAACAATCAACTGCTGTTCAGCGGCCAGCATTCTGTCCATTCCAACCAACCCTGTGTGGTCACAAATGAAACTGTAAGGGGTGCTCCCCCCCCAGTTCCAATTCCGGGGGTGGCTGCAGAACTGCCGCCATGCACCCCTGTCAAGTGCCCCCCTCAACTGCTCAATGCTCCAGAGAAGCCAACGCAATGATTGGCCAAATCCAAGCTGAACGATCGCCGTATGCCCCGGGGAAAGGTTAACCCCGACACAAGCTTGCTTAAAGGATGCACTAGCGCCAAGTAAGAAATATCTTACTTTTACCAGCGGATTTTAGAGGATCCCCTGAAACGCCGGTGGTTCTGAGTCCTTTAGGCCCCAAGTCCTCTCGGTCCCCGACGGGGGGCCAAGCGCCATAGTCCGCATCCTCCAGGTGGACGTTGCAGTCCCCGGTGTATTCAATGCCAGCCTGGCGCGAGCGAAGAAATCGTCTTGCGCCCTCCCAAAGGGTCCAAGTACCTAAGGACGTACTTCCCCTTTTGACCCCTCAAAAGCCATCAGAAGCTACTTGGACCCGGGCCTGGGGAAAAGTGAGCTATTTCCAGTGAATCCCAATCAAAACTAATAGAGGACAAAAACAAAAAGTATTAAGCAAATGAAGTTGCAACATGTGCTGAGGACCCACTTCTCTGAAGAGGTGTTTGGGGGCTTTGGACTTTCACCCGAAACACCATTTTTTGAGCAAGCAAGCAAGCAAGCAAGCAAGCAAGCAGGCAGGCAGGCAGGCAGGCAAGCAAGCAAGCAAGCAAGGAAACACACACACACACAATTTCATGTATACATACGCACACTTGCAGTATCTAACTGTAAACACATACATAGATATACAGAAATACTTGTGTATACGTGTGTTATATAGCGACTCGATAATACTTGCCTTGTGCTGGTGCCAAACACATACATGTCCGACGATATGATGCCCGAAAGGCCGGCTTCCTTCCAGGTTTCCTTACAGCCAGGCAAAAATTGAACTCTCCAAACAGTTTCTCGGTACCAACCCCGCACCCCACACAAATGGCACTCAAACCTGGAACGCTCAACCACGGTGCCCTCGAACAAATGGCCAGTTGGAACACACACACACACACAGCTTGCAACTACTCATGAAAGTCAAGATCCATTCACATTCCAGTTGCCCATTGAACTTGGTCAAAGAAGGGGGTTCTCTTCGGGGTTTGCGTTTTAGTAGAGGGCGCCGGTGAACAACTACACCATGTCAAGCGAGTACTCTCCCACAAGCATGGAACCCACCAAAGGAACATAGTCTTGGATCCCCGCGTCGTGGGCACTTGTCACAACATGTCACAACAACCTTTTGTTCATTTGAAAGCCCTTGAAACTAGGAAAGCTAGGGCACCAAGAAAAACACACCCACACCCACGTGGGTGGATTGGAGGGTGGACCCAAAACCAGTGTTGCGCGCGGCTGCCCTCTTCACCTCGTGGACCAGGCACTTGGCTTCTCGCCAGTGTTGCTGGGACCAGCCCACCAGGGCCTCCTGAAACCGAACCGGCGCTGGAATGCCCGGCGCCGGTCTTTGGTGTCCTAGGTTGGAAATGGATGGATTTCCCTGGTAGATGAGAAGAAACCGCCCAGGCAAACCAGGAATCGAACAACCCATCCGATTTTCCCGCCCCAAAACCACCAAAAAGTCGACACCTATGGGCACCGGTCTTTGGCTCCACTGGTCCCTTTTGGTGCAGCCTTCCCCAGGTCCCAGGCTCGACATACGCGAAACCGCCCAGGATCCCGGGGTTGTCATCGCAAGCCACGTACGCACAGCGTGTCAGTAGTGTGGTGCACGAAGTCGACTTTTGCAGCATTTTGCAGCTTTGGCGCGCAGCTTGTACACAAGTGTATTATTCATAGAGCTGTTGTACGCGAAGCTACGCAAAGTACACTTGGCAGCGTCGGCTCGGAAACAACTTTTCAGTAGAACTGCTGTACGCAAAGTACACCTTTGCAGCTCCTGCTCGCAAGTCTCAACTTTGTGGCACAAGCGTAGCACGCCAAGTACATACACTTTGGCAGCTCGGAAGTCGTAGCTTTTTGGCAGGTCTGAAGTCGCGACTCTTCGAGCTTCAGCGCCAGTCAAAGTACATTTTGGCAGCTCCGGCCCGGAAGATTTCCGCGAGCTTCCAGGACCCACATGTTCTCTCACCCGGAAGCCTGCTACCAGAACCAAGTCTCACATCTTCACCTGAGTTGTTGGGCGCTGATCACTTTATAAAGACCTGAAAAGCGGGGGCTGGCGCCCTTGGATTGCTTGGGTATAACCCCTCTCCTCAAGGGAAAGGCGCCTGCGTTCCCACCCACCAACCAGCCTACCTACCTTCCTACCAAGCAACCAAGGTTAGTGGCAATATGAAAGACAGGGTGCCACGGCAACTCTGAACAGGAAACCAGCTGGGTTTACGCTGGAACTTTCTGGATCCCCCTTTTCATCCTTTTCAGGGCTTCCTGATACATTTGGCGTGATTGTCCCAAAAAACATCTCAGGCTCACATCCATCCCAAAATGGGACCATCAAACACCAGCGGCGGCGGGTGGATCCGCGTTCTCGGGCAAGAGGTACTCCAACAAGTTCGAGCCCGTGCCGACGCGTGCGGTTCCTGCGTCTGCTGGCGGCCAGCAACGCCGAAGAGCCTCAGAATGTCCAGCCCCTGCAGGCTGCTGGGAACACTCCCAAACAAAGCTAAAGGTTGAAGATCCGACCCAATAGCATCCGAGTGTAGGTTCCAAGGAAATCGCCACTCCAACCATTGCACTAGGGCGACCAGCGACGGCATATCCTCCATTTCACGGAGCAGCCGTCAGTATTCAGGGACCAACATCGTACAATTGACGGCAGGATCAGGGGTTACTCTGCAGTTGGACATCTAATGGTTGACTTGGTGCAGGAAGGCGTATGTTTTCTAGCCACAAGATGGATCAATGAACTGGAGGGTGGACTGGGCGTCTGGGAGAGGCAATGACAACCATGCGGGAACTGCTCAACCAAAAGCCCGCCGCACTTGCTTTCCGATCAACCGCCAAAGCCAACAAGGATGTCCCCCAGCTCTGCGGAGTAAGCAGCTTTGCCCTCAGAGCGGCGGATGCGCAGGCCTTAAGGGCAACAAGGAAGGAACGCACGCGCAACGACGTTTCTAACCAATGCCTTTTTGAATAAAAACACCGAGCACGTGGCCCTTCCAGTTATTTCCAAAACACCAAAGGAGACGAACTTCAATTTCTCAAAACTAAAGACCCCTTCATGTGGTTGAGGTTTTTTTGCTTCCTCTTGAAACCTTCCCAAGACACGCTGAGTCCCTGTTGTAAGAAACACTCATACGAATGGCATTTTTGGGCCTTCCACCCCAGAAGCAACGGTTTTCCCGTTGGCTGCCCTTTAAACCCCCAGAATAACCTTTAAAGCAACCAAAACCAGCGTATCCTGACAAAAAGAAGAAGTAGTAAATCAATAAACCAACCCCACACCCAGGTGTTGATTGGAGCACCCCTGCGCCACGTGGGGCCTCCCAAAGCGTGTTTGGCGATGCATTCTTGGCACGGCGCAGGGCAGCGGCTCCCAGCATCAACACCATGCCTCGGGACTCGGAAGGTCGTCGGTGTATTTGTTGGACGAAAAATACGAGCCTCGTTTCCTGTCCTGTCGTTTCGGCGAGCCTCGTCCGTGTGACACGGTCAGCTGTGTTTAAAGGGGGTTGGGGGGGTGAGCCTGTCCACGTAAGGGACAACTAGAATGGAGCTCTAGGGCACATTAAATCCACAAGTAGTCATGAGTCACTGCATGACCTATCCTTAATTGTTTAGCCCGCTAAATGGACATAGGTCTGGAATGGCTGACCGAATCTCATGTGGAGCTGCTCATGCTATGCCTTGCCCTAGGGCCTGTTTGTGCCGTTCTGGATACTTTAGGGCACGTGTGGCTTCCAAAAGAAAAACACTTGAAGGGGGCAATTGTTGGTACTCTTAGAACATGAAGGCACCGCCAAGCAGATCAGTCAGTGACATGGTTGAAAGATCTTGCGAATTGGAGACAACGCCAAAGAAGAAACACATACAACACGTTGTCCAACATACCACGATGTGCAGTGAGGAACAATACTCCAAGGACAGGCATGAACTTGGCCAAAACAGAAAAGGTGAACAAAGTTACGGGCCTGGAGTAAATGGAAAACGCTTGCGAGCCCACGGTGCAAAGTCACATCTTGCGAACATCAAGAGGAAATCCCTCCTGGTGAGTTGTGCTTGTGCTGGTTTGGTCAGACTTAAGCCCCTGCAGGTGCTTACAGTACTTTTCACAGCCCTGGGTATGGTAGCAAAATTAGAAAACTGAACAGAACCGCAATCACAAACAACTAAAAACTTGCCAAGAAGCGGTGAAGTACCGGTTGGAACATGAAGGAGACCAAAGAGCAACAAACCGGCTCAGTCTCATGGGGGCTGGGGGGGAGGGAGGGGGGGGGGGGGGGAACCCAACTAAGCCCCAAATAAGGCCTTATTAGGGGCTTCATAAAGTGGGCTCCCTCCCCCTCCCTCCCCCCAAGCCCCCATGACAGTCTGAACGGCTGAACGGCCAGCTCAGTCGATTCTCGACCCCGTGAGCCCTCCGGCACAAGGTGAAGATCTCGCGTGGGCTCAGCAACTCCTGGGCTTCGGCGTGTCTTCCCATCAGGTGTCAGGGTGTTTAAAAGGGGGCTTTTCCCAGGACAGCTTATATGGCTATGAGTCTTTAAATAAGGGACCCTTTGGTAGACTCCATTGACAAAAACACAGCATCGAAGGGCTGGGGTTGGTGCCAAAGCCATTGGGGTTTGTCATTTTGTAGGGGACCCCCCCCCCCCCGCATTTTTGTTGTTTTAAGAAAAACGGTGGTGTCTCTTTTGGTTTTGAAACCAGCCGGACCAGTGGTATTTTACACACACGCACCTTTATAAGCGCTCACCGGGGCGATTCCCGAGTCGCTCGGAAAGGGGCACTTGCAAGTCGACGCGTCCCGCTGTACATTTTGATGCCGATTGCCCGCCGAGACTCTGATAGAACTGGGCAGCCACTGCAAAGAGACGCGCATCGCCCGGCCATGCATGCCTCGGGCGATCCGTGACCATCGGGGGAGAAAAGGCGCCATTCTGTCTTGCGCATCTTGGCCCATGGGGTACACGCAGAAGATAATATCTTGCGTTTCTGTTTCACAGCTATTCTGTCCAAAAACACAAATTAGTTAGGAGGCCCCAGGAAAAGTGTCGCTTCCGTAGATGGCTGAAAGAAGTCACAACCTCTTCTCTGCAAGGGTTCCAACAAATATGATGTTCAAGGGAGTGATGGTCCCCTGGCCCCCCCCCTCAAATGCTAGCCTACCGCGAATGGACCAAGGGTTGCTCCCTGCCCGAACCAATTCGGTGACACTAAAGACAAAAGGCCATGAGAGAAGGCACATTGACTTTGGTGAAAGCCGACCAAGCACAAGCGTGGCGCGTCTCCAAGCGGAAACCTACACGCGTTTTGGGCCGAACGGTTCTCCGAAAATGCCAGAACCTAGTAATGAGGACACAAGTCTAAGTCATATTTCAGACCTGCAGGTCACATCCTCCAAGCTGCTGATTCGTGCAGCTCTCGCCATGTGCTGCAAGGAAATCGTGCAGGGGAGGTGGGGAGGGACTGGAGGCTAAACAAATCATCTGAAGCCCTGGGATGCGCACACCTTCAAGCGACTAAGGAAAATGGTCATCTTGGTGGCATGTCGGGTCGAACCCATGGAATGTAGCCTTTCAGTTCAATGAACGGCGCCGGCGCTACAATTGAGTGGTGTGTTGTCACTTTGTGGCATGTCACACTGATCGATCCTCTGGGTTATATATATATATGCATTCCACCGGGTCTCTTGCTTTGACCCTGTCAGCAGCTAGAGCAAAGCCATGTTCAACTGTGCCCCGCAACACCACCATGCCTGCAAACAAGCATGTGTTCAATCATCAAGTTCATGTCTGATGACATCCATGTTGGCAGCAGTCTTGAGTAGACGGGGCCAACTTGTCCGACAGGGTCGCTGGCTGCAAGGGGCGTGCCTTGAGGGTATTCCTAGGGCTCCAGTTCCCGACATGTTTGCTAAGGCGCCCAAAGGATAGGTAAAGGAGCCCAAACGGGGCTCCCTATATCAGCAAGAAGGACCTTACCCAGACCTCATCTCTTACTACCCTCCCCGCGCCACACCAGCATATAATCAAACCACTCGCCAAAATCTATATAAAATGTTTCAAGTTATTCATTTTAAAGAATAACTTAAACCATTTCAAACAACTTCGCAACATTTATTGATATGTCCTTCACTTGATACATGGTCGCACCAAGAATAATAAATTTATTTCTTCTTACATTTCAAACATTTAAACCACAACACACCATTTACAATTTCTTTACTATCCGGTCGTTCCAGTTTTTCACCATTCAAACTTTTCTGTAAAAAATATTGATGGTTCAAAGATTTCTCGTGTTGAGACTTCTTACCTTTTTTAACTTCATAATCGCACAATTCGCAATAGTGAACCTGTTGCCGGTTTGCTTGTATTGTTGCTTTCCCTGCTTCGCTCTCTCTGTATTTCCTGTTCTTTTCCTGTACTCTGTCAGGGTGGTTCTCTCTGTATCTGCGTTGCTTCTCCCATACTTTTTCAGGATTGTTAATTCTCCATTGTCTTTTGGTTTCCTCTCTCTTCAATCTGTTTTGTTCTCGGCAGTAATCACAAAGTTTAATCATATTCTTAAACAAATCAGAAGAATATGTAGTATCACATTGCTTACATTTTTTCATATCGTCGTTCATCTCCTACCATAGTAAAAGAACATTTCTTTAAATGGTTTTAGACATAATCCATAACGAGGTCTGGGTAAGCCACCTGTCCCGAAAAAAACCCACCAAACAACAAACCAAACAAAAAACCAAACAAGGAACAACACAAAGAACAATTACAAATATATTGAATAAATCTAATAATTTTATCTTATTAGAACTATTCATGATGAAGTAAAGCATTTTACAGCAAATCGCTTATTTTATATCCAATAAATAATATCTATCAAGTTCATGCTCGTAAAATAATTGCACAGCATTAATATCTATATAATATCTATTCTTGATTTTTTTGTATTTAAACATATCATACAAGAGGCGATTGTTTAATACTGAACTTGAACCCCTAAAACGAAAACGATGGGCAAATATAACTTGATACACATTTTTTCGTGGAACTAATTTAGTTTCTGTATTCTTTAACGCTTGAATAAATTTATTATATAATTCAGTTTTTTCTTCTTCTCTTCTCTTCTTCTCTTCTACTTGTTTAGTTTTACATTCTTTGCATAATGTTATAGTTGTATCACTCGTAGGGAAATCATCATGAACTCGTGTTTCTTTTACACATCCACAATCTTTAGTATCTCTTGATTGTAAAGTCCATCCCATATTTATCACTAATATATATAGGTATTATTTCTTTAAACCTTTTTAGTCTAAAACTATAATTTTAACATTTCATGTCGCAATAGAGGTTTGGGAAAATCACTAACATGATAATACTTCTGCCCCAATTTATTTTCTATTTTGGTTATTGTATGGACTGTCCTTAACCAATGACTGGTTCTCTCTTTCTCGCTAATCGCTTTCTTTCTCATTATCTTGACTTTGTCCCCTACATCTAAATCAGGATACACACGGGTTTTTCTGGCATTCATTGATATATTCAGTTTCACTTCAAACTCATTCTTTCTCTTCCTTGCTTCTAATGGTGTCATTTTCGTAACGGAACTTACTAATTTACTATTATATGTCAATAATATTTCTAAATTGTAATCTATCCATTGTATATTGTTTTTACCTTTCTTTTCATCCGCATCAACTCTTTTAAAAAGCATATCTTTGTAGGTTCTAATAAATCTTTCTCCAAAAGCAGGGTGGCCTCTCGTGGTGTGTAATTCAATTTTTTCCTCATCAAGATAATCTGTAATGGTAGAACTAAACAAACTGCCTTCTTCGTCGCTGTATATCATTTTGGGTTTTCCGCCCATTTTCTTAATGCCTTCCATAATTCCTGCTAATACATCTGGCGGTTGCTTACTTGCAATAGGTATTACAGTAGCATATTTACTAAATATATCAATTAATATTAATCCAATTCTAAACTTTTGATTTTCCAAATCATTTTTAGAAATAAAAAACAAATCCAGTTGAAATTCCCAAAAGGCATGAGGAGCAATAAAACTATTTTGCCCTCTTGGTTTTCTTTTCTCTTCAATATTATTTTTAAAGAATTCATTTACATCACTCATAGTAATAGTTTTATCTTTCTGTCTTCTTTCAAAGTTGTTTGTTTTGAACCAAACCCGCTTTTATCATAATATATGTTTGCAATTATCTCTTGCTTTGTGCTCATTATACAATAAATGATATAATAATATATTATATCATTTATTTCTCTTCCTGTTGTTGCAACCAATCTTGATGTTTCTTTGTTCTGTCATGTCGTTTCATTTCGTGCTTTCTAACACAAGACCCACAGGGACATTGTGCTTTCTCTCGTTTTTGTTCCAGTCTGCTTTCTTGATTTTCATAGTAGTTTGCTTTTGACTTCTGTCTGTAATGTTCTTCCTTGCCTTGCTTCCATTCTGACATGGTTCTCCCTGCTATATGTTTATTTACGCAATCATTTTCTTGTTGATGCTGTCCTTCTCTTCTGTCTAATTCTTTTCTAGAATTACAAGGGTAATCTTCAATCCATTCAATCTTGCAGTTATCCACTCCATATTCATCAAAGATACTATACACTGAAATATTATTACTTTTTCCTGCTTTAAAGACTTTGTAATCTTTTCTATGTCTTGCCATTCGTTTGCTTAAACTTTCTGTAGTGCTACCTATATAGCACTTGTTATATCCAACATCTGTTATTTTGTAAATCTGTCCCTTTTCATACCTATTCATACCTCTAATTACCTAAACATACCATTTCTTTAAACCTTGTTCAACGTGCTTTACTACCGTATCCGCTTTTGTCATAGTAAATATCACTAATTATTTTTTGTTTATCCATATAATAAATTAAGCTTTATTATATTGATAATATTATTTATAATTTAAATTCAGGATAATAAGTTAATTGATGATTATTAAATTGTGTATATATCTTACGTCTGTCATGCATCAGTTCAAAAATAATATTAATAGCTCTCACGGTATTTTTCACATTAAACTTTTTGCTTTTAATATATGATTTAATGTCTTCTTTTAAATCACACCCTTCTCTCCTACGATGCAACAACATCCATAATATGTGGTTAATCATTTCATACTTTTTCTTACCGATTTTGAGAAATATTCTAACATAACTATAAGGTGGTCTTTCATACACAGTTAAAAATATCAAAGTTTCATCTCCAATATTTCTATTACTTTCTCTTTCCAGATTTAAATGATATCTGATTAATTCTTGATTATCTCTCCATTCCTGACAAATTTTACACAAAGCATAATCAATAATATTATTAACTATTCCATTAGGTAAATTCATTTTGTATAATTCCATATGTTCTTTTTTGAAGTGGCAACAGTCATAGCATTTCTTATTGATATAATTATTTACTTCTTGTTCCTTCATTACTCTCTACTATATATAGGTATTATTTCTTTAAACCTTTTTTAGTCTAAAACTAAGATTTTATTATGAAAAAATATTAAAATCTTAATGAGCTGAAACATTACAATATACACAGAATGAAGTTGAATTATCTATATGGTGAGCGATTGAATTATCAAGGCGCTGACAAGTAAAATTGCTACATAATTTACCTTTCTTCGTTTCAAAGTTAAATGAAGTATTACACTTTTGGCATCTGGCGCGAAACTGTGATAAACACCATTCAGCACTAATGTATTCTTCCTCATTAATTTCTCTTTGAGCGCGACGGTCTTGTATCTTATAATTTTCTACTTTGTTTTTAAAATATCTCATTATCATATTTTTATCCATTTGCTTATCAAAGTCTGGATTACAATAAAATTTAACTTTCCTAAAATCAACACAGCGAGTCAATGC